CAAAGTGCCACATCCACCACCAGGGGGCGCAAAGTGCCGCATCCACCACCATGGGGCGCAAAGTGCCACATCCACCAACAGGGGGCGCAAAGTGTTGCATCCACCACCAGGGGGCGCAAAGTGTTGCATCCACCACCAGGGGGCGCAAAGTGCCGCGTCCACCACCAGGGGGCGTTCTCATCTCATTCCATTAAACTGCTGAGAGGAAGCAACTTAAAATCACTTGTGATTCTTTCTCCCCTATTTCAGAGTTCATGACCAGAGGTGAGGGGAGGAACATAGAGTGACCAGTAAACAGAGAGCTTTGCCTTACAGCTCAGCTCCCTCTTCACTACAACGGACCAGCACAGAGTCCACAATACTGCAGACGCTGCACCAATCCGTCTGTCAAACTCGCGCTCCGTTCTTCCCCCACTCATGAACAAAACCCCGAGATACGTAGTCCCTCGCTACTTTGTGATTCGTTTTGCGCGGACTCGCTCTAACATGCGATACGTAAAAAGCAAAACTAAAAACAGGTGCGGGTGGAATCCACCACCGCCCGCTGACGTGGCGCTGGGTCCAGTCCAGTTAAGCTTCAGGTGGGTCGCTGGCAGTGATCCATCTGGATGTTTTTTTTTATTACATCTTTCAACTAATAATTAGTTTGCATACTTCCGTTTGCACAGGTCTAGTGCTTGCCGTGTCTCCAAAGTCATCGAGTCAAGCACGAAGGAAACGATACGTGCGCACACCAGCCTCATGTCTGTGTTCTCAAAAGGTGACATCAGCAAAATTAACTTCTAGTCCAAAAAAAGGTGGAAAAATTGTTTCCTAATAAAAATCTTTGAATCCCACACCTTGTTGTTAATCACCCCCACTCTTCCATTCCAGCACGTCCTCTGTATCGCCGTGCACGACTTATTCGAACTGCATTTACAGAATCAATCTTAAAAATAATACATAAATAGGGGGCCGAGATGGTGTAGAGGCAGGGCAGCCGGCTTGGGACCCGAAAGTCCCAGGTTCGATCCCCAGTCACTGCACATCACGTGGCGTCTCTGGGCAGCACGTCTCATCCCCAAAATGTCCCCCGGGCGCTTTCAATAGCTGCCCACTGCACCACCTGGTGGTGGATGGGTTAAATGCAGAGACTAATTTCGCCATTGTATGGAAACATACAGTGCTGACATTGTGATGACATTATTATTATTATAAATCACTCAAACCTCGCTCCAAAATTAATGAAACATTGTTTTGCTGTCTCTAATTTTGCCACTAGATGTCACTGAAAAGAAGCATTGAATGAATGAACCCATTTTAATGCGACTGCTACTGGTTCGATACTGGTTCACTGGAATGAATTATTTGGTTCAGTTTATCAGACGAAACAACTCTTACTTTAATTTTCTTCGTCTCTGGTTCAGCAATGACTCCGGTCTTCTTCAGGTCAAAGTCTCCAATGCTGCGGGTCATTGCCAACCTCCCGTTGACGTTGGGCTGTCCCAGACTGTTCCAGGTGATGAAGCCTCCACTTTTCTTTACCCTGAAAAACACGCAATCTAGCTGAGGCAAATAAAACTCGGCAGAAAACATAAATCAAACTGCAATATTTTCTGACAGAAGCTGTTTAGGTCTGTATGAACCATCTTCTTACTTTGATTAAAAAAAACAAGTTTAAATCTTAGAATTATGAGAACTAAACCAATAAAAGTTTGTGTTTTCCAAACAGCAGAAATCCTGGAATTCTCCAATTTACATCAAACCTCTCCTGGCTAAAATATACTGCAGTACTGGGAGCTATGGCTGAGTGGTTAGAGCAGTCCTCCTCCAATGGGAGAGTTGAGGGTTCGATTCCACCAGTCGTCACATGTTGAAGTGTCTCTGGGCAAGGCATTGAACCCCTCATTGCCTCTGATGTGTGTCCCATCGGTGGAAGAATGTGTGTGTTGGAGGTAAATGAGGGCACAGTGTGTGTTGTAAAGAGCTTGGAGTGTCTTGATCAGATAGAAAGGAGCTGTAGAAGTCAGGTCCGTCTACTGCCGGCCTCACGCACCTCTCCTTTTCGTCCTTCCTCTCAGGCGTGTGGTCCACAGTGAGTTTAAGGGCCTTGCCCTTACGGCACAACATGGCACGACTGTCCCCCACACTGGCAACCACCAGCTCGATGCCGTCCCTCAACAGGGCCACAGTGGCAGTGGTTCCTGCATTTATCCCCGGTCCTACAAAGACATGGGAGGAACCATCAGACGTGGAACAAGTCATGAAGAAACACACAGAAGGTCAACAACCACACGATGCATGTCACAACCTCACGTCCACAGAGTAAAACATGAACACGTGAGTCTTAAACTTGGATTACACAATAAAAACGAAGGATGCAGTGCATGTAGGTGGAGCTGGTGATGCACAGAACTGAGGTTCAGAGCAGATTAATTTACAGATAAACCATAAAACAAATTACAAGTGGCTCGTGGGTGTCCAGCAGAAGAGCAACACCTCAACTAAAGTGATAGATCAATCCTAAATGTGTAAAAATCATTCACCTAAAAAGGTTAAAGTGACTTCATGTGTAAAACTAAGTTCTTGTGAAAACTGTTACTGCAAAACAGCAGCAGAACGTCGGCTTTCCATTTGAGCCTAGCAGAAAGGTTTAGATGCTCCACAGTAAACTTTAGTTGCATAAAGGGATACTTCGTATCATTTGAAGCGGCATTTGGTTAAAGATGACCTCAGTCTGGAGGAAGTTTAATTCTGATCATCTCGATGAGCTAATGGCTAGACGGAGAAGTCGAGGCCAAAACGTATCGCTGTCGTCTCCAAACACCGTCAGCCTGTAACTCGTGCAGCCAACAGCTGTTCATAAACCTTGCACCATCACTTTCAGATTACACGGTCGTTCCAGTCGATATCTTTTAATATTCTTGTCTGAAATGAACCAGAGTGCTACAGCTAGCTGCTGCCGCTACCGTTTACTCTTAGGAAAAAGTTACAGGACTGTGTGTAAATAACAATGAAATGTAAATTCCAGAGGGAACTTCAAAAAGTCCAGCAGCATAATGGCATTAAATAAACAGTAAATATACACAATAAACTTGATTTAAGTTAAAAATAATAATTACATTAAATAAACTAAAAAAAAAAACCTCTCATTAAACTCCTTTTAACAAACTAATCAATCTAATGTTTATCATGTCGCTAAATAAACTCATTAACATTTTATTGAAACTAAATTATTATTCTTCTTTAGTTTTTCATTGACGGTGTTGCAAAGGTTTGTAAGACGCATCAACCCACCGTGGTCAGGGCACCGCTCAGACTAGCCTGTAGCTCATCAACCCAGACTAGGGCTGGGCATCGAGTCTCGAGAATCGATTGGAACAGGGACCAACACTCTGATTCTTCCAGAATCGTTCGCATTTTTTATTTTCGATTCCTACTTTCGATGCCCAGTCCACCGACTGGAAGAAGAAGCCGCTGAACACCAACGAAGAAGAATACGCAGGACGAGTGCGCGCAACCATGGACAGTGAGCGGCCGCGATCAAAGTGTGGCTTAACTTTAATCAAAGGAACGACCAGTCGGCTCAGCGCAGCACTTGAAATAATTTTAGATCGTGCCAAGATAGGAACCGGAATCGAAACGAGGAATCGGAATCGTTCAAATTCAAACCTAAATCGAGGTATTGTGTAGTGCTACTGACCCCCACTTCAAAAGATGGGAACTATCACTTTAAGGCATCTGACTGAATAATTGTAGGCCTGCAAGACACAACTGTTCGTTAAATATTAAGTAATGGCCGTCTACAGATTGTAAGGTTTATGCAACCCTCCCTTCAACCTGCTGCATCTGATGGTCTGTCTCAGACAGATGAACGCTTCATACACCTCCTCACACTGAAGCACTGGTTCACAAGAAGCATACACTTGGTAAGAGAAGAAGAGAGAGAGAGGATTGAGAGAAAAAGAACCTTCCAGTAGTCCAGGATTTAGGACCCGCTGGACTCTCCTTCAATATCTAGCCTCTCGTCATCCTCATTGGTACCAAGGGGCTCCAGCTCTTAGCTGGGTCAGCAGCTGCCGTAGACAACATGTACACACACACACAGGCATATTGGGACATTTCACACAGCGTGGCCCAAATCAGGCCACATCAAAAAGGCATGCTTGTTATATTAAAGATGTAAACCTTTGTCTCAAACGTCAAAAATATCTAAAACTAATCTGTAGTTTCTAAAAGCTTGAGGCGAACACGTAATGCTGAAGTTATTGAGCGAAACGTTTTGATTATTCTTTTGTAGGACGCTCAAGAACCTTCAACAATAAAACTGAAAAAACATGAAAAGTAAAAAGAACAAAGCTAACGTTTTCTGTCAGCTCTAAGGTCTTAACGAGAAGAGACAATTAAAAAAAACATTTGGTTCTGATCAGGTAAAATAGTCACGTTCTAACATGTCATATGTTGTTGTTCACCTCAAGTTGTCTTTACTTTAAGTCCTGGTGAAGCCCAGATACATTTTTATAATATTCTAAAGAAAAAGGTAATAAACAAAGCAAACAAGTAAAAAAATCAAGCCATTAAAACTGATTTAGTGTTTGTAGAAATATACTCTAAATATTAGTAAAACACTTAAAATACAGTGAGAGTTAAAAACGTTCTGTGACACTTCATGGTCTGTACTGCATTTATCCATACAAGTACACACGTTTCTCTTTAATTTGGTTACGGTCTGTAAATATAAATGCAATGATCTATTACTGAAGCTCTAATGTTTGCTCCGCTTGTGGTTGGTTCAAATTAATCAGTTATTGGAGGTTTTGGAGAAAACGACACCTCTAACCAAAAGTGCACATGTCAAGTCAGTTAAAAAAATCCAAAGCCTCAAAGCCCAAATGAGTAAATTATGTTTTAAAGATGTAAAAACATCCTTACATATATTACATCCATAGCTATTCAAGTGTCTATATATCACATACAATTTATTTAAGCGTATTACATGACAGAACCTACCATTTGGACAGAAGTGTAAGTGCCTGGCAAAAGCCTTGTCTACTTCAAGAAAGGCTTTTGTTAAAACTTCTTCCAGGTCGTCTTCCTCTGCCACATGGTCCCTGAAAGAAAATCAGAAGGAACATCTGCTGACATCTGGCATTCAAACCACAAAGTCGGTTACATGTAACAATAAATATAAACACATTTATTATCCTTACTTGATAAACTTCTCCATGAACTTCTCGCAGAAGTCAGCAGCTTCAGGTCCACCGTGCCCATCAAACACGGCAAAGTAGAGGATGCTGTCAGTCATTTGAGAGACCTGGAAACGGTCCTCATTCTCCTTGCGCTGACCAATAAGGGAAGCGCAGCCTACCTTTGATAGGCTGACTTTGGGAATAGGCTTTCCATAACGGATGCTGGGAGGAAGCAGGATGGGCTCGTCGATACGATTATCCCAGATGCCAAATGAATCCCAGGTAGTAACGTGGCCACTGCTATCTGGATCAAACCGTGTGTTGCTGCACCGTCTTCCTGAGGGACCATAAAGCTGCCTGCAGAAGATTGGGAATTCCTTTTTGTAGCCGTCACGCTGAAATGGTAGCGAAACAGGAGCCTTATGTAAAGATCCTACAGGAGGACCGCTGCACCTCGCCAAGCGCAGGAGACGGGCTGCTGACATCCCCCTGACGAAACGATCTCAGGGGATGGACTGGACGTAGAGGCAGCGATGTCCAAGCGGTCTGAAAAACGAGGTAGAATTTCACAGAATGCAACACAAGCTGTGCCTCAACAGAGACAACCAGGGTCATTTAAAACAAATACAACTCGGTGCAGCAGAAACCACACAGAATGGTACGTCCTCCAACCAGCTGCTTGTTTTTAACAAACGGGACACTGCAAATAACGGATTTTTGATTTTATGTGAAAAGCACTCTATAATTTAACCTTTGTTGTCGTCATCTACTTGGATGATTGAGCCTACAAACTTTATTTTATTAATTCAACCTTTAATTATACAGGTTAATCCCACTGAGCCTCAAGAGACCTGTACCTTTGGCCCCACATAAGATCTGTCTTTACACTGTTTTGCCTTGCAGTAAAAGTAAAAACATAAAACTTGACAGATGCAGCTCGGAACGTTAATAATTAATATTAATCTGGACTTTAAGAACAAATGGGTCATTTTGAGAACGGGATGTCCAAAAACACCAACTCCAACTCAGACTTACTTGTGTTAACGAGTAAAAGCACCAGTTTTCTTCAAACAAGAGGTCTGAAATGTTCCAGCTTGTTAGGTTAATCGTTAATCTGAGCCGAGGTTCGTAATAAAAATAAAAAGTTCGGTTAGCGAATGACGCAACACGAAGCTAGCTGCTAATGTTAGCGCGATCCTGTGCAACACGAAGCGTCTTAAATTAATAACCTACAAGGCACTTACTAACACACAGCTGGGTTGTTATAGATATGACATATTGCTGTACTAACCAACCATTTAGTCCAAAACCGTGTTTTTTATACAGAGCCCGCGTTAGCTCATTTGAATTGTAAGCTAAGTAGCTAGCTTCAACAGTCTGTCCAGCAGAATCAATAACAGAACGATCAATAACAACCCTCCGACCCCTCACTTGTATGTTGAAAGTCATACCTTGGATATTTAAACCTTATTTTTAGACTCAATTGTTTCCTGACTTCTCCAACAGTGACTTCCAACGATCCAAATAAAAAACAACAACCTCCTGCGTCGCCGCGTCGGATGTTATCAAACAAAACCTTTGGTGTTGCCGCACCAATCAGAAGTCGTTTCGTTTCACAACACGCAATATGATTGGTCAAAAATAGTTGTTGACAGGTCAATAAACCAATCATTTAGCGGCATCTGAGGTCCGGCTCAGGTAGGAAAATCAAATTCAACCTTCATTTATCCAGGAGTCCCGAGGAGTCATTTACAAGAGAGACGTGTTTTAGACTGACGACAGATACAGACAGCAACAAACAGTACACAACAACAAAATGCAAATAAAGAGTAAATAAAAATAGTGTTATAAACAATAAAATCAGAGTCAGAGTTTCTTTATTGTCATTCGCACCTCATGTGGTACATGTGGTGGAGCGAAATTATGTCCACAGGGTCCCAGTTACATCCAACAATAAAATGTATAAGAAAAACAGTAATAACATCAAAGATATGAACTAAGAAAAACATCAACTAAATAGGGGTGGCGCTCATGTGCACCGTGTGTTGTTCACCCACCGCCAAAAAAACCGAAGAAGAAGAATAATTCCAATAATCAGCTGTCGCGCTTCCTCAAGATGCCTTCGCCATGGTAAATAATCAGCCTGCTTTTAATCATTCAAACGAACAAGTCGTGGCTCTGCCAGCGAGCCGTGTTGACGACAGATGTGACCAGCAGCTTTGTGGTTTGTGGCTTTGAAAGTTAGCAGCTTTACCTTGCTAGCTCTCAGCTGCTGCGTGTTTTGGTTAATTTAACAAGCTGAACACCACAAGGGGCAGTTAGATGTGCTGTTCAAAAAGCGCTTTAAAATACTCGTCCTGACACCGCAGGTGAAGTTTTACCGTTCTCAGAAAGAAGGTGGCTAAAGTTAGCAGCTAGCAGTAGCGCTCTGATAAACAGAGGCATCATCATCATCATCATCATCGATGGAGGTCACCACATCTTGGACTTACAGGCTTTAACTTCTCCTTACTTGTGCTGATGCTGCTAATAGACAATCTTTATGTTGTTACCCAGACTGAATTAAAACCTTCTGCTTTAAACACTTTAAATTTAGGACGAAACTATTTTATAATAGTAGATGGTGAACAGCTGTATCAGGTCCTCTGGACAGTTTTTTCTTGTTGAAACGTTTCATTTTTCATCCAAAGGACTTCATCAGTCCGAGGAGCCACAACAAACTCAGTCTTATAAACAGCATCTTCAGTTTGATGGTGCTCTGATTGTTTCTGGAGTCCACCCTCTCCCCCACCGACTTGTTTGAGGCCATAATAATAATAATAATAATAATAATGCATTTTATTTGTTAGCGCCTTTCAAGACACCCAAGGCCACTTCACAACATTAAAAACACAAAGTAAAACAATATAAAATGGCTTTAAACCACTAAACCAAGAAGAAAATAACAAGAAATGAAAGTGAGAAGGCCAACGTGAACAGATGAGTTGTGATCTGAAGATCTGAAGGAGTCAGTATTACGGACGTCTGGGGGCAGAGTGAGAAAGTCTCGGTGTCCCACGGTGCTGAGGAGGATGGAAGAGGAAGAACGAAGGGATGGTGTTGAATGTGTCCAACAGGATTTTAAATTGGATTCTGAAAGTGACTGGAAACCAGTGAAGTTGCTGTAAAACTGGGGTGATGTGGTGAAATGAGGGGGTGTTGGTGACGATGCGGGCAGCTGAATTTTGAGCCATTTGAATTTTACGGAGTCATTTTTATGGCAGACCAAATAGGAGAGAGTTAATTTAAGTTAATTTGAGAAGTGACCAAACTATGGACCAGGATGGAAGCAGAGTGTGGGGAGGGGGATGGACGGAGACGGTTGATGTTTGGAAGGTGGAAGTATGCAGAGCGGGTGATGTTATCGATGTGAGAGTGAAAAGAGAGAGAGCTGTCAAGAACGACTTAACGTGAGGGAGAAACCACGGAGCTGTCGATGGTGAGGGACAAACTGTCGACTTTAGATATGGTGGATTTGGTGCCGATGAGTAGAAACTCTGTTTTATCACTGTTTAATTTAAGGAAGTTAGGCGTAAACCAGGATTTAATTTCAGTTAAGCAGGAAGTGAGGGAGGAAGTGAAGAATTAGGTGCAGTGGATAAGAAGAGCTGGGTCGTGGCCAAAGTGGTTCAGAATATCCTGATTCATGCTCAATAATCCAGATGTTTGCCTCAAACGAGTTCCAAGCATTTCAAAGCCGTAAATTGCTGCAGTAAAGTTAATGTCACAGTCAGGGCGTGTGTTAATGATTCTCAGTACATCTGATTTTAGTTCATTCTTCAAAACTGACTGAGTTCCAGCTGTTTTTGTGTTCTCCGTGCTTATCCGGCTGTAGTGGCCATCTTGAATTAAACCGATTCCAAAAGTTAATCACTTGTAAATGAACTTTAAATGATTCTGCAAGTATAATCAAAATTCATGCAATGGTGCAAGAGATGTTCACTAACAGACACGTGCACGCACAAACGCAGGCAGAAACGTTGTCGTCTACCTTTTGCAAGAGTTGTGTGGGATAGATATTGTCAGGACGTTTAATGCAGCCCGGTGATCAGCAGGTGCTCCGGATGACGCTCATGACATCCTGCTGCTTTTGTCTTCCAGGGTTGGACTTTACTTGAAGAGGAGAAAGCGGGGCTGCTGTACAGCTTGAAAGTTCTTCTGTTCCTCCTCCTGGCTCTCACGCTCTGTTCCTCCTCAGTTTGCTGCTCCTTTCCTCTCCTCCCACCGCCATGCTGTGTTGGGGGAACGCCAGGGATGGGCAGTTGGGAATCGGCGTTGAGAGGAACCCTGTGTTTGGGCCGAGGGACTGCCACGTGCTCAGTGGGCGAGGGCTGAAGGAAGTTGCATGTGGAGGGCAGCACACGCTCTTCCTCCTGCATGACGGGAGCGTGTACACGTGTGGCTCTAACAGCTGCGGACAGCTGGGTCGCAACAATGACGAAACTTCCCCAGGTAACCTCTGAGTGTCATCAGCAGAAACCGTCAGGTTAATTGTTCCAGGCATATGAGAGGTTGCTATAGATAACTGGTTGCTAGTCCCAAATCCCAGTTGCTCACCATATATACCAGTACCGCACTTTCTGGTGACGCTACTTTTTTCACACGCTTTGAACCCACGGCTGCAGCTAATTTATGGATTTTTGTTTTCACGGTCTAACGAGCTTCCTGCCACCAAAAACATTTAGCCTCGTGATGTCACACCCGGGCGCTCACATAGCTGCCCAGTACTCGTCTCTTGGGGGGGGGGTCCTCGTGACTCAGTGAGACTACCTGTATAAATAAAGGTTAAAACACTTTTGACCAACTGCATGTGCAGAGCATGTGAGTGTCACATGCTCACAGAGCAACTTTTTGCTCCGTGGAGCAGGAGGACAGCTTGAAGAAGGAGATCGATGACTTCCTGCCGTGTTACCGGCACTGATCAGAAAAAAAACCCATCTACTGTAGTATTTGTGTATGTTACCGGTGCGTACTGTAGTATTCTGCTATGGTTGACTGTTGGTCACATGGCCTCATTGAGGGATTATGGGTAAAATTTATGTTCATTGTTAACAATTTCAGCATAGTTGCAAGTTTTTTGTTGACTGTGTTTACTTTGAGTTTGCTGTTGTATTTGCTGTAAGTATGTTGTTCAAAGTGTTTAGTATAATTTTGCTGTTTATATGTAATGCCATAATAAATGTATGTTTGTACTTTTTCAAAACGGCCTCTGTGTTACACCATGTGGTGGGTTGCCAGTTGGGCTTGTTTTCATAGAGCTGGTTGCTTGTTTCTATGGTGCGATCTGGCAACACTGACAGCTGTTTATTGTTCTTTTAGTGATTAGTCTGTTCTTGTTAGCCTAGTTTATATGTTCATCTTGTTAGTTTGTGTTGGGTCATTCAGCAGAGTAACCATGAGTGAGGGAGGTGGTTTCACGGCGACCTGTGGGGTTCACTCCGTCTGCGAACAGGAAGATCAAGTGTATAAAACATCAGCTGGTGGTTGATTCTTGATTTACACCAAGCTGCACATCTCTCTCTGTAGCTGTGCTGCCACTCATGTTACGTGAACACCTGCGGCTTATACACAGGCGCAGCTTATTTATGTACAGATTTATTCATTTAAATATAGTTTGTGCGGCTTATATTCTGGTGCCTCTATAGATGGGCAATTACGGTACCGGTGTATGTAAACCAGCCGCCCCAATCGTTTGGGAAAGCTATGCTTTGTAGTTTTTACCGTATATTGCTTACAAGTATAGCTAGCTTTGTCACATGGTTGGGGCGGCCAAAGATTCTTCCTGGTGGTGGATGAAGCGGCTCCCTCCACTTACCAGGATCCATCGATCCGTTGCCTCAGATAAGCAGAAGCAACCTCTTCTTTTATTCAGAGTAACTCCTACCCACTCGAACATCTTTCACCAAAAACATTAAAGTTCGCTTGCATTCCCAGTTCAGTGCCAGTACAGAGAAACACTTCTCGAAAACTACATTGGCTAATTACTTGTGAATAAAAGCTTTTGCTATTTTTTAATTTGCCTTTGTGTCTCATAATAACTCCCTTCTCCTCACAGAACTGGTGGTGGCTCTGGATACGCAGAAGATCACGATGGTTTCGTGCGGTCGTGCCCATTCAATGGCCATAAATGATCAAGGTCAGGTGTTTGCTTGGGGAGCTGGTGAAGGGGGACAGCTTGGCCTGGAAACTGTGGAGATTGTTCGGATTCCAAGGTGACCATTTGGATCATTGTTAAAGACTAACTTTCAGCCAAGCTGGACAAAAAAACAAACTTCCTATTTTTATTTTATGTCCCAAAAACAAAATCCTCACATGCTTCTTATTGTGCAGTTTACTTGACTACTTGGACACCTTTAGTTGTGGACTTCTGGTGAAGGTATAAAAACTGTGCACAATGTGTGGTGGAAACGTGCACAATGTGTGGTGGAAACGTGCACAATGTGTGGTGGAAATAAAGCTGCTGCGCAGGCGGCCTGACCGCCTTTACACTTGTATCACCCAAACATTCAGCTCTTTGTTGATTTGTTAAAAAACAACCTAAAACATGGAGATATGTCACCATCAAAGCTACATCAACTCTGTAGTAGTAAACAAAATCTACTGTGAGTTTAAAAAAAAAAAGATTTTAAAAATTATATATTTGTAAAAAAAAAAAGTTATTTTTTTCTGTTTACTTCAGGCTGGTGAAAAGACTGTGTGATCACAGCATCTCCCAAGTGATGTGTGGGAACCAGCACTGCATGGCACTTTCTAGAGGTATGACAAAGTCTCTATAATCCATCCGTCCGTCCGTCCATCCATCCATCCATCCATCCATCCATCCGCTCCACCTTCCTTCCTTACCCGCTTCTTCCTTTTCGGACCGTGGGGGTCACTGGTGTCCATGTCCAGCCGTCACTGTGCGAGAGACACCCTGGACAGGTCTCCAGTCCATCACAGGGACACATAGAGACAAACGAGACAAACAACCATTCACTCTCTCTCACACCTAGAGACAATTCAGAGTTACCAGTCAGCCTAACATGCATGTTTTTGGTCTGTGACCAAAAAGAAGAGAATTATAGAGGCTTCCCAAACTTTCAAGCACCACTGTACGTCAGAGTACACAGCCTGGCCAAAACAAAAGTCACACTAATGTTTCGTTGGACCTCCTTTATCTTTGATCACATCATTCTCTGTGTCTTTGTTTCAATAAACTTATTTAACGTCACAAGATCTGTTTCATCCAGTGTTGCATTAATTTTTCACCAAGATCTTGCATTGATGACTAGACACCATGGCATGATGGGTGCATCACTTCTCCTGCCTCTCTTCTGACCCTGATGCACCATCACTCTGGAACAGGGTCAATCTGGACTCATCAGACCACATGACCTTCTTCCATTGCTCCAGAGTCCAATCTTTATGCTTCCTAGCAAATTGAAGCCTTTTTTCCAGTTAGCCTCACTGGTTAGTGGTTTTCTTAAGGCTCCACAGCTGTTCAGTCCCAGTCCCTTGAGTTCCTTCACATTGTGTGTGTGGAAATGTTCTTACTGTCTCTATGAACCACAGCCCTGAGTGCTGCTGGTGTTCTTCTTCCATTTGATTTCACCAAACGTTTAAATGATCACGATCATTCAGGATTTATTTCCGGCCACATTTCTTCCTGGAAGACGATGGGTCCCACTGTCCTTCCAGTTTTTAATAATCGTTGGACAGTTCTTCACCCAGTTTTAGTTTCTACAATCTCCTGAGATGTTTCCTCTGCTTGATGCCAATGATTTGACCCTTCTCCAACAGACGGACATCTTCTCCACGACCACCATGAGTCTTTCATCATGTTGTTGAAGAAATGAGAAGCAGCTCATTGCACCAGTTGGAGTTAAAGAACTTGTTGCAGCTGAAACATGATCGTCCGTGCAGTGATGATCCAGCAGGAGGCTCGGACCTGTTTGATGAGTTAAATCCAGGTGGAGACTTTTTTTTTGGCCAGTCGGTGCATTTTGTGTCTTCTTAGCATTTGGCAGCAGTGACGAGCCTTCCTTTTTCTAAAGCATGAGGGAATTTCAAGAGGAATCTAAACGATTTGCTGCCAAGAATGAAAACCAGAGAACAGCTCCTCCCCCAAAATTTAATAACAGTTACAGAAATTACTGTTTCATTTTTTTATTTCACATCATAACTCGGAGCAATATCGAGTTCTTCAGTTGTGGAAAATGTGATGAATAACCATCTGATGCCAAAGGGACATTGTGTAAAAGTGTTTGCTTAAATAAATATAAAAATGTTTGAAGTTTGTTGTTTTAGACGGTAAAATGTCAACGTGGCCGGACTTCGGAGTAGCTGTCGGCTTTCTTGTCAAAGCTGTACTCGCAGATGTTTGTGCAGCTGTATGGTATAGATATCTCCAGATGTTTGTGCAGCTGTACAGAATAGATATCTCCAGGTGTTTGTGCAGCTGTACAGTATAGATATCTCCAGATGTTTGTGCAGCTGTACAGTATAGATATCTCTAGATGTTTGTGCAGCTGTACAGTATAGATATCTCCAGATGTTTATGCAGCTGTACAGTATAGATATCTCCAGATGTTTATGCAGCTGTACAGTATAGATATCTCCAGGTGTTTGTGCAGCTGTACAGTATAGATATCTCTAGATGTTTGTGCAGCTGTACAGTATAGATATCTCCAGATGTTTGTGCAGCTGTACAGTATAGATATCTCCAGATGTTTGTGCAGCTGTACAGTATAGATATCTCCAGATGTTTATGCAGCTGTACAGTATAGATATCTCCAGATGTTTATGCAGCTGTACAGTATAGATATCTCCAGATGTCTGTGCAGCTGTATGGATATCTCCAGGTGTTTGTGCAGCTGTACAGTATAGATATCTCCAGATGTTTGTGCAGCTGTACAGTATAGATATCTCCAGATGTTTGTGCAGCTGTACAGTATAGATATCTCCAGATGTTTGTGCAGCTGTATGGATATATCCAGGTGTTTGTGCAGCTGTACAGTATAGATATTTCCAGATGTTTGTGCAGCTGTACAGTATAGATATCTCCAGGTGTTTGTGCAGCTGTACAGTATAGATATCTCCAGATGTTTGTGCAGCTGTATGGATATCTCCAGATGTTTGTGCAGCTGCGTAGTTATCTCCAGATGAGTATACAGTCATGTGTGTTCTCTTCCAGATGGGCAACTGTTCACGTGGGGCCAGAACACCAACGGGCAGCTGGGCCTGGGCAGAGGAGAGCCCAGCAAACTGTCCCCTCATCCTCTGAAGTCTCTGGCAGGGATCCCATTGGCTCAGATAACTGCTGGAGGAGACCACAGCTTTGCCTTGTCCTTGTCCGGGGCTGTGTTCGGTTGGGGAAAAAACAGAGCAGGACAACTCGGTCTTAATGACAAACAAGGTGATCATAATCAAATTTTGTTGGGCAATTAGTTGTCTCAGAAATTATTGCAATAAATGATAATGTTTGAAATTTGACAATAATTAGTAGTTATTGTCAAATTTAAGAGGAAATGTTGGTTATTTTTTGTGTGTAGCATCTTTTTTGACCACTGGATGGCAGTATAAGACTGTTTGAACCGAAGGATGGATAGTGAGGGAGCGAGCAGCGTGACTCTTTTAGAAAAATGTGAGGGAGGCCCCTTGACGTGACATGGGCTGTCACTCTTTGGTTCTCAAAATGGTGGACGCTCGGTGGTTTGAGCTTTTTAGCATTTTTCACACAAAGCTTTTAATAAAAACCAGTAAACAAGTTCTCAGCTTCTTTTTGCAGAGAAAAACAACTTTTAACACGAAGGCACGAGTTTCAACCGTGAATTTTGGAGCTTCGACAAGAAGGAGGTTTTTCCCCCGATTTCAGCCTGTTAGCTTAGCTCGTAGCTTAGCTTCTCAGCTTAGCTGCTTTTACTGATCCAAAAACACAATTTTGGATGTTACAACTGATTTTAAAGAAAAAGAGAAAGGGAGGGGTCAGTGAAGAACACCTGAGCCTTTTGTCGTCCAGTGTCTTCAGTAGAAAGAGAGAGACACGAAGAAACGATAAAGCCGATAAATGAAAATAAGGTTAATAATTTTCATCATGCGATTAATTGATTTATTGTTTATCGTGACAGGCCTACATATTCATTCAACCTTTATTTATACAGGTTATCTACAGGTAGTATATAGTATATATATAATGTGTTGTATGCGGCACTCGTGTTGTAATTTTTATGCTTTTCAAATAATTTTAATTTCTTTACAAATTTTTCACCCATAGAAATGGATTTTTCTTCAATTAAAAAAAAGTTTTTCTCTTTGAAATCTACTTTAGCAAACTTGCTGTAATTTTTTTCTTATTCTTCTGTTTTTGGTTTTGAACCACTGTTCTTTTGCTGCGTTTAGCTTTTAAATGGACTTTCAGCTAGTGTTTTGTTGCTTTTGGCTAGTATTTAACTTCTTTTAGCTTCTTTTCAGCTTTGTAGTTTTAACTACACATTCTTCAGCAAATTTCAGCACTCGTTCATTTATTTTAGCAGAAAATGCAACTCCTAAAGTTTTAGGTTTTCATCAAGGACAAGAAAATCTGATTCAGACTTTTAAACATTTTTTGAGTTTCTTCTGTTTTTCTCACTTGACAGAGCTAAAGTTTATTTAAACAGTTTAAAGACTACACTTTCCACTTGATTGGCTTTTTGATGCATTCTTCAAACGCAGAAGCTCCAGTTTTGTGTTTCACTTATTTTTTGTTGGTAAATGCATCAAACTACCAGAAGTGTAGGAGTGACTGGGCGTCTTGTTTCTGTTTTCAGATCGAGCTGTTCCGTGTCACATCAAGTTTTTGAGATCTCAGAAAGTCGTCTACATCAGCTGTGGAGCTGAGCACACAGCAGCTCTCACAAAGGTATAAGCAACACGCCGTACTGACGCATTTATTTTATTCTGTCATTTTCATCAGACAAATTTTGACACTTCTTGTGCCAAAATAATAATTTGCCAAATACCGTAATTTCCGGACTATTTAGCGCACCTGAATAGAAGCCACACCCACCAAATAAAATAAAAAAACAACATTTTTTACATGTATAGGCTGTGCTTGTCTATAAGCCGTGGGTGTCCACGTTGGAACATGAGATATTTACTCAGAAATATTTTTTTAATTAAAAAAAAGTACCAGTAATGTACACACATACAGTAAATGGTTGTTTTTCAGAACAGAGTCGTAACACGGCTGGTTAAAAAAATAAAAATACAGTAGCCTACCAGGAAGTGATCGATCGCTATCATCACCTTCCTCCTGCGTTTCCCCCCTCCCTCGGGGCCCAACGGGGAGGAGAGGAGAGAACGGGGGAGACACGGAGGGGCACTGTGACCTCATTGGTCAGATTTTTCTTTAACCTTTATTTATACAGGTAGTCTCACTGAGTCACGAGGACCCACCCCCCCGAGAGAGAGACGTGTACTGAGCAGCTATGTGAGCGCCCGGGTGTGACGAGGCTAAATGTTTTGGCGGCAGGAAGCTTGTTAATCTGTCAAAAAAGAAAAGTCCATAATTTAGCTGCAGCATTTAATCCACGGGGTTCAAAGTCTGTGAAAAAAGTAGCGTCTTATAATCCAGAAATTACGGTAATTCAGTTTGGAAGAAATCTTGTTGGAATACAGTTGATGCTAACTGATCAATAACTGTATATTAATGTCGATCACCTTCTGAAATTAAATGCTCTATTTCAGGGGTGTCAAACTCTTAGAAAAGGTGTCAAAATGAAAACCTTCAAACGAAGAGCTGGTTTGAGAATCTGCATTAAGTCAAATCAGATACCAACATCTTCTCCTGCTCACAGGTTCCTCATCAACAGTGTGATTGGTCTCATTTGACGTTCTCTCTTGCACTTTTGACGTCATAATCAAAGATTACTGAAAAAAAAGTGATAAAAGTATTTTACATTTAAAACAACATCTTGGGGGCCAGACAAGATGTCAACGAGGGCCACATTTGGCCCCCGGGCCTTGAGTTTGACACGCGTGAAGGATGCAGAACAGTTGTTAGTTTGTGTCTGTGATGACTGAACATCTGACACTTTGCTGTTTCGGCGGCAGGACGGAGGCTTGTTTACGTTCGGTGACGGGTCGTGGGGTCAGCTGGGACACGGATCTACCAACAACGAGCTTTTACCAAGAAGAGTGCTCGAGCTCATGGGCACTGAGGTGTTCCAGATTGCCTGTGGCAGGTAGCTCCTGTTCTCAAACTCTGACCCGTGATAATCTGTTGGATTAATGACATCGGCCTGAGTGTAAATCCTGTGATTGTTAAACTTAAATTATGTTCAGACTGTCAGTCAGATCTTCCGTTACTTATTCGTCTTAGTTACGGAGTTTTCCTTCTGGAATTGTATCCACACTGGTTTATAACCTTTTTACTGGTTTATTTACTTAAAGCACTCGCAGTTAAATATATTTTAATATTTAATAGTTAAATATATTTTAACTGTGGATTGAAAACCTCACTGTAAGACAATGACCCAGTGAACTTTATTAAAGCATCATTTAGGAACATTGTGACGTTTTAGCAAATTAGATGGGATGAATTGAAGTACACTGGGGAAGGATCAACATGTTTTTCAGTGCACGTCATAAATGTGTCTCTGCAACTGTTAGTCACTTGTTGGAGACACAAAATTGTGAGAAATAACACAAAGTGTCACTTAAAATCAAACTGAATTTGAACTTTCATGATCTGAGTTTAAATCTCCAGGATGTTGCAAACATTTATGTTGTGCAAATTATTTAAAAATTTAGTCACAAGTGTCCTAATGATGTCTTTGTGTTAGCAATTCATTCTCATTTTACTCAGTTTCCTCATGCTCTCCTGCATCTGAAATGTCAGATTCTCTTTTATAGCTCCCAATATTTGCACTTTAGTTTCATAGGTGTTTCTCACTAAAGTTGTCTCTCAGTTCCTGCACTTGATTTATGAAAACTAAACTGAGAAGGCTTTGATCTTTATTCTGAGAGAAAATTGATCTTGTTGCTGTTTAAACCTGTAAATATGGTCAAAATTCCAGCGATACAAGAGCAAGGACCAGTTTACACTACAATGATTTCTGGTAAAATTCATGTTTTTTAATGTTTATTGGGGCAAATGAACAAAAACACAGACAATGTTTACATGGATCCACAGTTCAAGTTCCAAGAATCGTTGTTATCTCTGTGAGGAGCGATTTGTTTCACAGCCAGGAGGCACACAAAACATCCACAAGATGTTAAAATAACAGAAATCATGTGTTCTTTGAAAAGCCTGATCTCTACAGGAAAGAATGAGTTTTTCAGTCTGTTCGTTCCACATCTGAGTAGAAGATACCTGCGTCCAGATGGAAGACACCTGAACTCACCATGGAGCAATGATCAGGATCTGCCAGAATCTGCCTGGCCTTGTTCACTGACCTCACCTTGTGTAGGTCAGTGAGGTTCTGTAGGTCAGAGAGGTTCTGTAGGTTAGAGAGGTTCTGTAGGACTATACCAGCAGTTTTGCTGCACATCCTGTTAATCCCCGACAGTTTGTTCCTGTTTTTCATACAGAGTTCAAACCAACAGATGAAGATGAACGTTAAAAGAGAATCAATAAAACATTCTCATAAAAGTAGAATCAACATTAAAACCACAGCTTCTGATAAAAATACTTTCTCTGGTGGACCTGATTACAAAGTGAGTCCACATGGGGGTCAAAGGTCAGTTTGTCATCCAGAACAGTCCCCAGATGTTTGTATTGATGCACCACCTCAGCAGCTTCACCGTCAATGAGCTGCAGCTGAAGAGTCTTCTCTGACATCAATGACCATCTCCTTTGTCTTAGAAACATTGAACTTTAAAAAGGAAGTCTCAACCATTCAGTGAAGTCCCCGACCACAGGACCAGGGTCTGGGTCTTCACTGCTGAGAAGGAACAGGATGACGGAGTCATCAGCAAACTGTAAAATGTGACGCTGCAGAACTGGCTGCAACAATCGTTTGTATATAAAATGAATAAAAGGGGTGAAAGAACACAGCCCTGAGGAGCACCAAGGACAAAAGGACATCAGAGAGAACCCTGCTGACCCTCACACGCTGAGACCAAACAGTTAAAAAGTCCACCAGCCAACAGATGAGGAGTCCGGACTGTACAGACATGGTAGTTTCTCTGCTAACGTGGGGCTGATACAGTTAAAAAGATGAAAAGTCAATAAAAAAACAATCTTACAAAAGTTCTTGTGCCTTCAAGGTGTCCTAAAATCATATTGAAGAGTTCCTGATGCGTCCTCCACGCCTCTACGTGAACGATAAGCAAACTGAAGTGGGTCCAGATGATCTTCAACTTTTGACAAGAGGATCTCCAGAGCAGTTTTTCACTTTGTTACTAATGAAGTCGTTCAACCTTTATCGATACAGGTTTCTCCAACTAATGAGGTCAGGGCAGCAGGCCGGAAGTCGTTCAGGACTGAGCAGTCCCTTATCCGCAGGGCTTTACAGTCTTTCCAGATCTGTGGGACCTGAAAGGTTTGGAGGCTTTAGGTCTGTAGTTTCCATGCCAGGCGTGGTTGCTCAACAGACAATGATGAACTTTTGTACTGTCGCTTTAAAATCATTACATTTTTATCCAAACTGTCAAATGTGCAAAGTGTGAGGTCGTGTTGTTTGGTGAACACGTGCACAGAAAAGGAGGGGGCAAGAAAAAGGGATTGGGTTTATCTGGCAACACTGATTCTGGGCGAGCTGCATGCGTTGTGCACGAGGTGTCGGCACGATCACAGTCGCATCCAGACCGGTGAACCAGAGCAGAGGAGGTCCGGTTTCACTCGGACTCGTGTGAGCCGGGCCTGAGACTTCTGTGAAGAAACGTTTAACGTCGTTCACCGTTTCGTTATAAAGCAGCTGCTCCATTTGATCACAATCCCTGAAAACATTTATCACTTTGTTTAGTAGTTCATTCCTCAGTAGCATCAACGTTGCACTTGTTAGGCTTTTTTATTTATTTTATCTTTGAGTTTTTAGAGCTTTTCAAAAGCAAGATTAAACTATCAACTGAAAAGGTTTTTATCAGGCGATGTACTTCATGTACTGTTGTTTGGATCATGACACACCTGTTGAAGTTATGAGGTAATAATAATAATATTCAAACATTTAAAGCCTCCACTACTAAACGAGGCATCAAAAGAACAGATGTAAACGAGTTGTTTGCAACTGTGTTTCTGTAACGTTTAAAATTAAAAATCTATCAGTGGAAAACTGATGTGTCTGATGAGTTCGTGTTCCACTGCACGATAAATCTTTATTTTTGTTGCCAGGTACCACACGTTGGCGTTGGCGCCGTCTTCCAGCACGGTGTATGCGTTTGGTTGCAACAGTCATGGCCAACTGGGTACGGGATTACTGGGGGACTCGAGAAGTTTGTTTCCCATCAAAGCAAGTTTCCTGACTGGGAATCTGCAACGAGGTGAGCCGAAGGTTCGGTCCGTGTCTGTGGGAGACGAAGTCGAGTCAACTTTATTTATAGAGCACATTTAAAACAGAACCTGTTGTCAAAGTGCTCAACAACAACAACAATGGGAGTAAAATGAATGGGAAAAAATACAACACACTAATAATATTACTGAAGAATTAATAAAAGGCATTTAAAACATAGGATGACTGTGTCGCAGCTAAACTTGTCCAGCTGTTAGTTGTGATGTTTTCCTTTTGAAAGATGAACTTTAACCTTGCTTGTCCAGATGTGCCAACGTACCACAGCCTCTATGAAACTCTTTCAGGATGCAGAAGTTATCATTTATTTATTCTCTCACACGTTCTAAATTCTACATTTGGTTGTGCCTTTAGACAATGTTCCAGTTTGTATCTGTAGGGACTGGTGGGTGTCATCATTCAAGATCGTTTTTAATATAATCCAAAGCTTAAAAGTGTCAGGATTAGGGGCTGATCATCCACTGATCCACCGATCAGTTATTTCAGTCAGCTGGGATGGCCCACTTGTAAATGTCTCTGGGAACCAGTTGTTCCAGTGTGAGCAGGTACCAGCAGCACAAAGGCAGGCGGCGTGTCTAATAAAACTTCCCTCTGAGTATGATCCTAATTAAAACCAAGTTTAGCAACAGACACTTCACCTTATTATCGTTAAACTGTAGAATTTAATCTTTCAGTCCTACGTTTGCTGTGCACACGGCGTGCGCGGTTGTTGTGGTTTGGAGTCTGAGCTGAATCTCCGCCAGCGTTGCTGTCCACGAACGATTCGTGTGAATGAATGAATCTTTTGAGTGAGTGAACTGAATCACTTTAACTGACTCGTTCCTTTCTCGGTTCAGTGGAGCTCGGCGCGAGCGTGCCGGTCGGGAGTGGAGCGTCCTCGTTCTGCGACTCGTGACGTGAATCTGAACGATGGCGCCGTGCGAGTGAGGAGGGACCGCGGTGGACGCCCGAGCGAATGCAACATGATTCGTTCACTGCAAACAAACCACATGAATCACTGGGTGAAGGAAACGCACTCGGACTCTGTCCTGAGGGACTCTAACCGTTTCCTCCTCGCGGGGACACGCTCACGTGACGTTAGCATCTGTCTCTAAGCTAACGGCTAATGTTGAGTCAAACCACATGAAAATAAACACACGCCGATACAGATGCCGTCCGATCCGTCCACCCAGACTCGGCTGGCCTCTCAGTTCCCCCGGGCTGTAGGAGTGCCCGAATGTCGGGCAGAACTCCTCCCAGAGCGATGGCCACTCCTCCCAGCAGTCTGCCGAGCTCCTCGTCACTGCGGACAGCCAACCGTAGGTGCCGAGGGACGATCCTGTCCTTCTGCTGTCATGAGCCGTGTTTCCTGCTAGTTCCAGGATCTCAGTGGTCAGGCACTCGAGCACAGCTGGCAGGTAGATGAGCAGGGAGTGATTCATTCAGCGAATGAACTGCCGATTCGTGCACGTGCACACAGAGAGCTGCAGCTGAGGAGGGATTCGTTCGTGTCGTACTGAGCTGGAAGTGGCGCTGCGTCACTCTCGTGCACTGCACGAACCGAAGGACAAATTTTAAAAAAGTTCAGGAAGAAAAATCCAACCAAGTTCAGTCAGGTCCTCTGGACGGAGTCTTCTAGTTGAAACGTCTCATCTTTCATCCAAAGGACTTCTTCAGTCCGAGGAGCTGCAACAAACAGTCCCATAAGTATCACACTCGCAGTGGGCCAACCATGGCTAATCATCTGAGCACCATCAAACTGGTTGATCCACCATGAGAAGGTGCTGTTTATAAGACTGAGTTTGTTGTGGCACGTGAACTAATCACCCTGATCACAAACAAACAAACAAACAAACAAACAAACAAACAAACAAACAAACAAACACGACTGATCAGAGGATGAGTCTTACCTGTGAACCAGACAACCTGGGTTCAGTTCCCGCCTCACTCAGGGAACAAGCTGCTCTTTTATTTATTTTTACTTTATTACCCTCCTAATGTCTAACTTCTTTTTTTACCATTTACTCAACTTCTCCCTCTAGTTCGTTTCAGCTCGATTCAAGTTAGGAAAAGCTTTTTGTCACGATTAGACATGAAGCCTCAGTCTCACGAAACGATCAATGGTTGCTGCAGTTTTTATTATGAAGCATCAGAAATTAAGTCGTCATGTGACGGCGTGCGCTCACTGGAGAATATTTAATTTATTAAATGCTGACTGAAATAAATTCACATTAGTTTTTATAATCTCTCTTTGTTACGTCTCCGTTTTATTCTTTTTGTTCATCTCTGTCTATAAATTCTAATGCAGGTAAAAAAAAAACATTAATTTTTATGAGCAAAATGTTTTGGCACATTTCTCCAGTTTTCTCTTGTTCTGTTTTTGTTTGTCAGAATCGAAGTGGTGCGCAGTGATTAAAATAATCTGCGGAGGAGACCACGGCTTCTTGCTGTACTCCAACGAGCAGGTACGGGTTTAATCTGAAGCAAAGTCTGAAACATGTTTCAGATTAAATGGTTCACAGCCTCTGTTCTCTGACACTCACCTCATTTCAAAAAGTCGACACACGTTGGTGTAATTTTAATGTGCAGCTTCATCATTATTATTATTTTTATTCTTGTTTTAAGTTTTCTGTGTTGATAAGAGAAACTAGTTGGAAACATTTATTCATTATTTTCTAAGTTTTAAAGTTCTCGTCAGCACTTGTTTTCCTCTTTGGTATGATGGGTCAAATCTGAGCCCTAACAGGAAGTTCAGTGTTTTACCACCAGGTGGCGATCACACCTAAACTTTGACCAGACCATGTTGAGCCTAAAGCTGAACACTATTTAATGATAATAATATAAAACTTATTAATTCAACCTTTATTTAAACTGATTCACTGCAGTTTGTTTCTGCAGCTCCAACAGACGTCGTCTCAGGACACTGAACAGAAACATTCACACACGTAAAAAAACAATTATTAAAGTTTTGTTTCTGAGGAAGCAGCAGGTTGTGTTGAATCTTCACTTCATCACA